TCGAGCTTCTTGAGGCCTGCTGGAAGACGATCGGACCGTGTGTTACGCAGCTCTTTAGAGCTTGCATACGGCTCGGCACCCACCCATCTTGCTTCAAACTTGCAGAAGTGGTGCTATTGGAAAAGCCAAATCGGGATCCAACTTCAATCAAAGGTTGGAGACCAATCGCTCTACTTTCGTGCCTAGGCAAAGGATTAGAAAGACTTCTTGCCAAGCGAATGGCGTACCTCGCAATCACTCAAGATGTGGTTGGCCATCAACAATTCGGTGCGCTCCCAAAGCGATCTGCAACGGACCTGGTCTCCTGCGTAGTCCATGACGTCGAAGAAGCACGCTCCCAGGGATGGGCCTCGACATTTGTCACTTTAGACGTCCAAGGAGCGTTCGATGCAGTGCTCCACAATCGCTTGGTTAGGCGCATGCAAGCCCAGGGATGGCCAGACTCAATCCTCCGATGGACGACTTCATTCCTCACACACCGGAAAGTTCAAGTGCGTTTTTCCGGCGGAGTCACCACCCAGAGAGAGTTGGTCTGTGGAGTCCCGCAGGGCTCACCAATTTCGCCTTTACTATTCCTTTTGTACATGGCGGAGCCAATGAAAAGCGGCAACCCAGGATCGAGGTTTAGCTACGCCGATGATATTGGAATTCTAGGGTTTGGACGCACAGTTGCTGAATCTGCCAGCGCTGCACAAAGGGAGGTAGACCATCTTCTCGAGTGGGCAGGGTCAAATGCCGTTGCCTTCGAAACGGAAAAGTCTGAAGTCATCCAATTCTCAGGACGACGCCGAGAAGAAGCAGTTGGGGTTCATGTGAATGGAAATCTCATCGAGCCCGCTGATCATATTCGATGGCTGGGCGTACATTTGGATCCTCGACTCAATTTCAAACACCACGTAACTACGTGGTGCGGGAAAGCGATAAAAGCTGCACAGCACATGCGCCGTTTCAATTCTGCCTTTCGGGGAGCAGCTCCTGGACCATTATCTAAGGCAGTAGACATGTGCGTTGTCTCACTAGCAACCTTTGGATCTGATGTCTGGTGGCCAGGGTCTAAACGCCCAACTATACGAGGAACGGTCACGTCATCTACGTCTAACCTATGCAGCATGATTGATAGAGCGAACCTGATGGGACTACGGGCTGCGCTTCCAGCAATGAGGACAACACCAAACGTGGTCCTTCACAGAGAAGGAGGAATCCCGCCAGCAAAAGTCATACTTGAGGGAAACCGACTTCGACTATCGGCAAGGCTTAAGACCCTTGACGATCGACACCCTCTGAGAATCCGCGCTTCCGTGTGCCCAAATGTCGGCACCCAAAAATATAAAAAGACCGCTAAAACATCAGCCAGACCAGAAATCCAGATGTCACGGTTACAGCGTGCCTACCGAGAGCTTCCGTAAGCAGAAGCCCCTGAAAGTCTGACGCCGGTGGTTTACTCTAGGAAATCAGGCTCAAAGTCGATGGAACGCGAAGGTTGCGTTAGACGGATTAGCGAGGTACCGGGAACGGACATTTGCGCATACTCGGATGGTTCATCGGAAGGACATGGACGCTCCGCCTGGGGTTTCGTTCTGAGGAAGGATGGGAAACTCATCGGCAAAGGAAGTGGCATCAAGCACGGGGGAGAGGTGCTGGATGCAGAAATAACAGGAGCAAGGAAGGCTCTGGAGGCTGCACTGGAATTTACGGAGGAAGAGCAGTGCAGGAAAGTAGGAGTGACGCAGCAAATCTACGTGTTTCTAGACAGCCAGCAGGCTGTAAGCGCACTAACGACAGGCTCGTCCTCAACTAGCCTAGAAGATGTACGCAGATTCCGTGCATTAAGTAACGTGGCAAAAGTATTGGTAAAATGGGTGCCAAGGCACGCAGGGATTCAAGGGAACGAGGAGGCAGACACCATTGCCCGTGCCGCACTTCGAGAGTTACCTAGCCAGGAGACACCACCAGGATCATGTACTCTGGCATATCTACGTGTTCTCATGAATCGCAGACGACAAAGGCTGCTAGACGACTGGTGGGAAGAGGCCTGTCCGCCTCAATACCGCCAACTCGACCTACAGGTGCGGAGACGAAAACCACCTGAACTGTCTCTCTCTAGGCACCTCCTCCGGGCACTAATCGTAGCACGAACAGGTCACGGCAATTTTGCGGCATACCATCGCCGTTTTAATAATCCACACGCTCCTATGAAGTGCTCTTGCGGGAAGGAAACTACTCCAACCCATTTCATCCACTGTAGCCGTCACGCACAACAAACGCGTAGGCTCAGAAAGTCAATGTCCCACGCTGACTTTATTAAAAAGCTTCTCGGGCCCAAGTGCCACGATAGCTTCAAAAATTTTGCGCAGGAAACCGGCTGTTTTGATAGACGCCCTGCTCACTTATCCACTGCTCTCAGTGGGGATCAGATAAACTAGTCATTGCCACAACGCATGACACGAAAGGGATCGATGCGAGAAGTGTCGTTTCTCTGAGGAAATCTTTTATGTACTTGAATTTAGGGTTGAAGGATGGAGTCTCGATTTCGGAGTCGGAGTAGGTGGAGTCTTCTGAGTTATAATTTACCTCCTACTTTTTCTGTAGCAAGTCTCGCGGTTGGAATGAGTTGGGCCTGTTAGCAGTGATCCTCGCCGGCTCCACCAGTCTTGTACCTATAGTGGACCTAGAGCTTTAGCTTAGGACTTTAATATAATAAAAAAAAAAAAAAAAAAAAAACATGCATCACACATGCATTACACACTAAACACCCCACGGTTTAGTTCCACAGTCACGTGCATATGCTATGACGCGACCTAAAGCATGTACCATGGTAAGTTGCATGGATAACACAACAGCAACAGTCCCCCACAAGCCAAGGCCCAGGCTTTGTATTTTTCGACTTGATTTCCTCCTTGCAGGTATAAATAACGTCGTAAAGATATAGCGAGAGATGGCTGGAGATTAATGGGGCAAGCTTCTGTATGCAATTGGAGCAACTTCTTTATTGGTCGTTGAGGCGAGATGATGCGTGGTAAGAGATGGATTGAGGACTCAGATGATAATGATGAGAGAGGCATTGTCGAGAAGCAGTCAAATGGAGATGTGTATGAGGTTGCTTTCGACTTCGATTCGGATGCGATTCTTCTTGGCTATCCCAAATATGCAGAGCATACTGAGCGATTACACCGGTACCACTGGAAGGTGAAGAATTCGTCCTTGCCGGCTGACTGTGGAACTCAACCGTGGGGTATTCAGTGTGTTTTTTGTTTTGGTTTGTTCATTTACATGCTAGGTAAAGTAACTACCGTTGCACTCCTACTGAAGCTTAAGTACGGGTGGGGCCTGGCTAGATCAGGTTAACTACCATTAAGTACATCTACCTTGTCTCACCTAAATGACCGGACCACCTCAGACTTCACCCATGTGTTGAATCATGTCAAGCCCAACCGTCCAGAGAACCCTCTATTGACGCGCCAAAGCGCAAATTCCTCCTCAGGCTCGGCCACCACGCGCCCGAGCGATTGACACCTTCGCCATCTGTAACATTTCCCTCCCATTCATTCCCAGCTTCGGCTCATCTCGGCATCTCCTCATCTCATCCAGGTGTTTAGTGAGTAATGCATGTGTGGGTATTATGGACCAAACTAGAACTCGATAGAATAGAAATAATGGAATTAGCGAGAGGCTGATGGACCGAGGGAGAACGAGATGGGCATTTCTCGTAGGAGAGAAATGATATCACAAGGGAATGTTCTAGCATTAGGCTGTGAGCAACACAGTAAGTCTGGAGCAAGATATGAGGAGGTCTCAACCTCCATCCATTCATTGTAACTAAGTTTCCTTTATGCGAGAATAAAGAGTCAAGTCTTACATATCACGAGAACACACGCGATAGCGATTAACGAGACCTACTGTGAGAATAACTTCCCCTCGAGTATCCATCGTCCTGCTCCTATATAGCCTAGTTAATATAACAATTGAGAAGCCGTCAAATGGAGATAAACATGTGTTTTCTTTCAACTTCGATTCGGATGCAATTCTTCTTGGCTATCCAAGATATGCAGAGAATACTGAGCGATAACACTGGCACCTTTGGAAGGTGAAGAATTAGACTTTGCCGGCACCTCGGCCGGTGTAGAGTTCTCCAGCTTCGCAATCTATATCATACTTTCCCTTCTGCTTTGAATTCGCTTAGCAATCATTCAGATTTAGTTCCTTATTTGCTCCCCTCAGATGAGTTATACTTCGGAGATGGAGAATTGATCCCCTGTAAACCTCGCCGTAACGTTCGACACGTATAGTTTTCGACCGTAGCACTGCTGATGCCATTCTTCTTGACCAACATCTTGACGGGAACTCTTCAACACACCATTTTGTCGTGAATAAACCTTAGCTAAAGGGGAATATTACACTTCAGGTTTGTAACGAATACCACAGACAGCTGTTCTGCCTTCATCATCTAGCATGTTACTGTTTTGAAACCCAAGAGTCTATTATAAATTTAATGCGATTCCCGTGTATAATAAGACGAGGGGATGTTTGTGTAGCGTAAGATACTGCAACTTTTATTCCGTGATTAATTACCGATGCGGATCGGGCATTTTGTGCGATCAACAATACGACAGTATAGAATTTGCAAATTATTTACAAAGTCTTGGTAACCCTACATCCAAAAGTGACATCTAATGTAAACACAAGTCATAAATCATACTTTGTAAAAAGAAAGTTATATTAACACCAAAAGATCTAGTTTTGACCAAATTTCTACAGACAAAGAAGGATCCTGTAATTATTCATTTTTTAATTCAATTAATTGTCCTGTCTGGGTCAATGACTTTGTGGGACATTAGGTATAATTATTCATTAAATGTGGAAAATAAATTGATGTTGAGACTTTGTTCAACAACTATGCTCAGTATTTCTTCAGATGTAAGTGCTAAAGAAACTAATTCTTTACCACAATTGTTGTAAGCAAAAAGCAATAATACTAACCTATTTAGCTATCTTACATAGCTTCATTTGAGTAGGCTTATTGAAACGCGTTTCATCCGTATGAGACGATCAAGAGTCTTTCTATCTTCATTGAATGCGGCATCATTTTCTAAGATTGCAAAATCTCTTACTAGTATCCGTTTGTCCGCAGACGAAAGTAGGCCTCGACTGAGCTTTAGTAGATGGCTCATAAAAGCGACGTAGTCACCGCCGACGTTACGAATGGCCCATGTGATTAAATTCCGGCCATCAAAGTCACAGTCGAAGAATTCTATACATTCACTGAACAGTTAGTTAACGTGTAAGGGTTGTTCATTTTGGTAATTTAAGGATTGATCATACCTATTCCAATCCATAGCCCACAATAGGAGATAAAGTGCTCCAATGTTTCCAGCTTTAACAGCGTTTCTGATTCCGATAAACGATGTCTACATGTATTAACAAGGTGTACGTGTTACATTTTCCGCAACATACCTCTCCCTTGTCAGAATACCAACTATCAACGGAAGCACCAAACCTGATAATACAGAATAGTTCTTTGAGCATTTCTTCTGACCATGGTCCCAATAGAAGCCTATCAGGAATTTCCACTTCACTGCTAACAATTTCGCTCCTATCCCAACACAGATCTTTCCACTCGGGAATATTTTCACGTAACCTCGTAATGGCTCTGAAACTTTCAAATTGTTTATCGAAGAAAGCTTGATCATATGGGTTTTCGAGTGGCTGAGCCTTTCGAAGGTTATCAGCTGGGGGATTGAAATCTACACCCTCAGTCCTAGTTAGAAGAATGATCTACCACAGCTTGAAATACCTCGACATACAAATAGGTTTTAAGGGCTTAAAGGAATTTTCTTCTATCCACCGCTGATAAACAACTATTAAAGCATTTACTGCCCAACTGCACCGGAGTATGTCTGTCTGTTTTGAATAAGTTTAGATGATACGTACAGCCAGAGTTATCTTCTCGTATCTTACCTGTTGCTCCTCACACTCATTATTTCTATGTTCAGGACCTTCGTCGTTTTCTGAAAGTAAGGATTTGCGCCATGTGGTTTCAAACACACTGAGGATCAAAGTTTTGTAAATATTCCAGTTAGCTAATCTAACCCCAATTATAGGTGATGAGCGTGGTAAGCTTAGGTTCAAGCACAACTTAAAAATCTTTTCCACGATTTCAGTTGGTAATCTTTCTAGGGAGGAAAGTTTATGTCTTGATTGGGCATGTTTACAGGAGACTTGTTTGATCTTCTCATCTGGAGCCCTAGGCCTGTCTGAACTGCTGTAATCTTGACCACTCTTCTCGCTTTTTTAGTTCAAGTTATCCCACATGTACAAGATAAGTATTACCTTGACCTTGCCAGGAAACATTACAACCTGATTTTCTCGATGAATATATTTACCAGGGTTTCTGATGGGCGTTAGCTCCATTCGTTGTAGACAAAGCTTGTCAGTATTTAGCAGGAATTTATGCTTTTGTAAGTGACTAAGCCCACTCGCTGAGTTACTCGTAACGGAAAGCTGTTTGAGAGTTAAGATTATTATTAGTTTACGTCCGCGCAAGGTTGCCCCACTTCTCCTATACACATTATTTACCGTGGTGCCTCGGTGTCAAGTTTGTAGTGGGGCTTTGGCATGGGTTTTAGCATCTAAACTAAGACCCCTTAGGCATAGTCACCTTCCATATTGGGGTTAGCCCCCGTACTTGTGCAAATTTTCGAAAATATTTGTGTGGCAGTTTTTTTCTGGACACAATAGTATACAGTGGGTCTTTCCTTCGTACTAGCCCTAATTGGTATAATGATCGGCTGCATGACATTTGTGCATTTTTGCTTCTTGACTTTATAACTTATTTACAAGAGTGATAAGGTTTTCGAATTACAAAGTTGAGCCACGATATTATCCTATCCTTGGATCTGAACTTGTGGCTGGAATATTTTCAGGCTTTAATATCTGGTTGGTCCCCCATCCGCAACTATCACAGCCTGACATCTTGCTGGCATACTCTGAATGAGTCTCACAAGATCATCGGGAGACACGGAATCCTATGCCTCCTTTACAACATTGCAAAAACTATTTGGAGTGCGCTGCTTTCCGCAACCCAGATTCGGATGATAACGCTGGATATAATCCTTCATCCTATTCCAAACAGCTTCAATTGGGTCAAGATCAGGCGAGTTTGCCGGCCAGAAAATCGATTGAATGAGCCTCTGACTTATATCTTCCATTGTACTTGCTGCTATATGATCAGGAGCATTATCCTGCGTTACGGAAAGCCAAGGTCTCATCGAGACCATGCACTTGATGAGAGTAACTATTTTCTCGCAATACTTTTGGGAGTTTAAAGATCCCCACTCCATCTCTCAAAATAAACAGGGGCCTCTTTCTAGCACTGCAAGGCACGCCCAGAACATCCAGCCGACCCATATCTTCGATTTTCTCCAACACAATCAGCATTGCGTTCTTGGAAAGCCTAGCTCATAATGTTAGAGCATCAAATTATTATCTTCTTACAGAGGAATGAACGAAAACTTCATGTTACCCATTCTCTAGAATTTCTTCCATCCTCTACCCAAGTTTCGTTTGTCAATAAAATTGACGTCCAGTCTTCATATGTCCAATTGAGATGAGCTTTGGCCCATTCTTTGCGTGTCTTCATAGTTTTTTGAGATGCTAAAGGCTTTAGACAAGCCACATGTCGTTGATATCCTCTTTTTATAAGTTCTCTTGTTATTACTCACTCGCTAACACCAAGATATCAAAAGGGGCCGGAGGCGAGTTCCAGAAATGTTTTGCGGCAGTTTTCAGGTGAAGACTCAACGTAAGATATAATCTGATCAGCATCATCTGCTTTCAGTTTTGAGGATGTTCTTTTTCTCTTTTTGAGGGAGACAGTTCCGCGGCGCAGCGAATGACTAACTTGTCTCCGAGAAATGCCTAGTTGCGCGGCAATCTGCGTCTGGTTTTTGCCAGATTCATAGAGCCCATAAATCTTAAAATTTCTTTTAATTTTAATTCTTTCATTTTAATTTTTCTACTTCCTGAAATGTTTTGATCTCTGGATAATTGTTTGATTCGAGGTGTCGAAGGTGGGGTTTGAGGTGGATTCATCTGCAAAATAAGGTTAGTATCGAGTGAACCAATATATCTGCTGAATAAACAACCTTATTTTTGAGGAACCTAATTCTTATTGTCAGTCAAGCACCAGACGAGAAGAGCTGTATAGTTTTGAGCGGTCGACGGACAGAGATGTGATGGCAAAGAACCAGAGAACAGGTTAGATTTGTATAAAACTGAGGGTGACATGAAATCGAATTGTGCCCTTGGTTTAGGCCTTAAAGTACAGGATAATAATCATGTAACCTGTCGAAATACAGTCAAACCCCTGTTAAGACGGTATTGCCGTTGAGACGATATTTTTTCCGGAACGAACTTCTTTTTTTTCGCATCAGATTTTAATTGCGTAGGCAGCTATCTAGCTATGACACAATATCAAAGAAAAGTACAGAAAAGATGACTCAATTTACAAGAAGAGCACTCATGCCTCGGATTTCATTTGCAAGTACCACTGCGAAGTTATGGTGGCTTTTTCTTTACCCCAAGTCAACCCTCATCCATGAATAACCACCCAGGGAAACGTCTCAAAAACCCTGCGTTATCCAGACACGCCTCCATCATCCTTCAACTTTTCTCCGCGCGAAATATGATCTAAGATGTCTCTTTCCCAAGTGGAGTAGGTGCCCAGGCTACTTAAACTATACCAGAGAACACCACCAGGAGGCGGATCACAACACCTTCCATCGCTGTCTTGTGTTTATAGTGTCAGCTGCACTCTCGCAAGCGAATTATTGGCGCGCACAAAGCTGAATTCGTAAAAGTCCTCGCCAAATTAGAAATATCACGCTCTTCAAGGTTATATCCTTCCCTTGCGTCATCTAAATAGCTTGTCCTGATCCCTCTCACGTCCATCCCAAAGAACTGTCTCCCAGATTTGTGTATCACATTTTCTAATTTACATGGGAGGAGACCTTTTCGTGAAAGCCCCCAAAGCCTTCCTGCTTATTGTCTCGTTTTTTTCTAATGTATCCCTCAGGAAGTGCAGTTACACTATAATGCCCTCCACGTAACCCGATCACGTCATCTCTTTCAACCCCAAGAATTGCTCGACCTGTTCTTTTCCCTCTGTAGCATTGCGACCGCCTTTGTCATCTGGAGTTGCTCTATCCAACCATAGCTTGGTATACAATGTGTAATCCTTTTGATGTAACCAGGATTATTTATCATAGCTTCGTAGGACCAATCTTTGGCTTGTCTCTAGATCTCTCCTCTTCCGTTTGGCCATCGAGGGCAGGAAAAGGGCATATTCTTGAAATTCTGTCAATAGTGGCCACATGTACTGCCTTGACTGAATACTCCTGATACTTTTCTTCTGTATGAATACTAACGAAGGCCCTGATTTACAAAAAAAAAGAGCTGAGGCTCATCTCGAATCTGCATCGCTAGACTACTTTGAGCGGAGTCCACTTTAATCAAATGAGAATGTCCTCAGACTAGTTGTGGGCCAAGTTGACGTAATATTTCCCGTTTGCAAACACCACAGCAGAAGTGCCCGGGAAGCCTGTGCATTAGTCGAAATTTGGCGGCACAAAATATATTTAGACTGTGATCTGATCTTCGTCGGCCATGACGTTCAAGAAGTCAAATTGTACATAATATCTAGTCGTCCGCGAGACGACCCTTTCAACCACATTGCGCGCTGTTGAGGTTTGGCGGCAAGGATAACCAGGGCAGCATACCGAGGCATCGGGAGTTCCTATGGGAAACATTATAAAGCTGTCGACGAAACTCCCATTTTTGGGATCTACATAGCCTCACAGACTCTGGGCACCATGATAATAACAGCTACAAGGCGATAAACAGGCTACAATCCCGCTCACCTTCACCTAGGAGAGCGACGTATCGAGACTGAAGCCCGTATTCGCCGAATAGATCGTAATCACCGGCTGTCTCCGGGCATGAAGCCTATCCACAGCGCCCCTCATCGTCGCGGACTAGCTCGAACTCACGAATCCAGGATGCAAAGCACGTTTCAGCTCCTACCGGAAGCTGAAGAGGAACCCTCACCATCCCTGCAGCATTCGGTACAGTCAAGCCCCTGTTAAGACGATGTAATCGGGGCCGTGAAAAATATCGTCATATAGAGCATATTGTTAAAAAGGATATCATTATCTAATCCAGCTATCTAGGCTACTTTGTACTTTTGATGGCTCTTTCATACTCCCATTTGCCGTCTTTGATCGCTCTAATACTCTCAAGGCCAGGTCAGTTTCCAGCTCGCTATCGTAGCGCAGTAGTACTTGGAGCTTCGTCGAGTTTCGCAAAGGTCTTGCTCAAGGACTCGGAGACTGTAGACTGGCTTAATCGATGGCCGTACTCAGCTAAGAACCACTCAATGCACTATTTTTGTGTTGGTTTTGGGACGTGGCGGTGCGCCCATCGTCGCAGAGCACGTCGTTGCTCCACAGAAATTCCCTTTTTTGGCGGCATTGTTAGCACCAATCTAGCAAAAAAAACCTGGTTAAGACGATATTCAGAGGTTGAAGAACGATAATCGCGCAATCGGTAAATGTATGGGAACGATGTCCGTTCCGGAAAAAATATCGTCTTAACCAGGATTGTCTTAACAGGGGTTTGACTGTACCAAAAAATCCACGACCCTTCAGTACAGGCAATGAAAAAGCGGCAAGAGCCACTGTCAAGATTACAGCCCGTGTAGATTGCATCAGTGGAGGGCAAGACCGTACACCTGTACGCGGTGTCCTCTACGAACCTGGGAGTGAAATATTCTCCCAGAGCCAAGTTCAGTCAAATTTCGCAATACCGAACAAGTTGGCCCACGAGGCAATGATTCAAAATACTCCACCATATCAATCTTTCACTCCCAACGAAATCGATTCCTACCTAAGCCTCATCAAGTCTACAAGTACGACCTAGTACACCCTCATTCCAATGATCACACCTCTCGTCGATTTTCTCTGGCCTCAGCCGGTCACCAGATACACGCTCACGCCGATATTTATACACGACGGGAGAAACAAAGCGTGGCGCACAAATCTGGAAGACAATTCCTTGGGATGGATGTGAGAGGGATCAGGACAAGTTGATAGGATGATGCAGAGGATGGATAGAGTCTCGACGGGCCTGGAATTTTGAATTTTGGCAAGGAGTTTTTACAAATTGAGCTTTGTGCGTGCCAAGACGTCGGTTGCGAGAGTGCAGGCGACACTATAAAAACAAGCCAATGATGGAAGGTGTCGTGGCACATCGTCTTGGACGGTCTGCCAAGTAAAGTCTGGATAGCTTGGACACATATCCCACTTGAGACAATAGATCGCTGGTTCAAATCCGGCAAAACACAACCACATTTCTCG